TATGACGCGAGAGCAAGGCTTACCACATCAAGGACATTGAATGGAATCGCTTGCAGCGTGGCGTTGTGCAGTGCCAGGTCCATCTTTTCCTCCTCTGTGACGCCCATGTAGACTGCACACATGCACGTATCCTTCTCCATGGCGGTCTCCTCGTAGATTTCCTTCTTCGCGACTATGATGTGTTGGCCTGCCACAACCTCGTAGAAGTACCCATACTTCTATGGAGAATGAACAAATACCGGATGAGAAGAAAAAAACGCGCCGCTCTTTGAGATTCATTGGAATTCATGAGATAGCACAGCAAATTTTTTAGGCACTACTTCTACGTATCCTTCAAATGTCCTAAAAATATTGTTCGTTTTTCTCCAGCCGTTTTAGCACCGGAGCGAAAACGCGAAGGCAACTGGAATTATTTTTTTTTGCGCAGAGAAACGTATCAGCGGAAGAGCAGTTGATAGGTGTGGAGCGCACAGATTATCGGGCCAGAGCTCCTCCAAATCCCAATGAAAATGCTGCTCTTTGCGAAACGATGGGGCAGAATTTTGGTACCTAATTTTTTTTTAATTTCTTTCGCAATCTTCAAATATTTGAATTTTTCTTTAAGTGGAGCTCGTGGCTTGCAGCTATAAAATAAAGTAGGAGATCGAATGCTTCGCTTACATAATAATAATAATAATACAATCACGATAGAAAGGAAGAGTGGAACTCACTTTCAGTGGATCAAACCTTGGGACTTCGCCTGCCTTGCCTCTTGCAATGATGATCGGCAACTGACTCCCCATGTCCTCTCCTTCTTCCAAGATTTTCCTCTTGAGTGTGTCCTTGGCTTTCTCGGAGAAGGACCTCGCTGCAGCTGGGCTCATCTCGATATCCCTCAAGGGGATATCATGAGTTCCTATAATGGTAAATCATTGTATTGGAGTTATTCTGAGAACCTCATGGGAGAGTTTTGCACAGAACGTATTCTCACCAAAATAGCATTCTCCATGTCGACTCGAACGGAAAAAGGTGGAGTTCAGCTTTCCTCTCTTAACAGCGCGTTTCTTCGTAGTTTCCGGATCAGAAGACTTCTTCCTTTTTTTATCAATGGCCTACAATTTTCCGAAGTCAATAGGATGCTTTGGAAATTTCATATGTCAAATGGCATTTACCGGGATAATATTACGTGTGATTGGCATGCGATCATTCCATGACAATTCTGTTTTTGCTTTTGTTGCTGGTTTTACAATCATACGCAAAATTTTGAAGGAAAAAATATCGCCCATCTCAGGTGATGAATAAGCTCATTTGAAAGCAATACTATAGGTCCTTACAAGAGCCACCTTGTGTTTCTTGCCACCTTGTGCTCTAACTCATAGGCGTAGTGTGCATAAAAAAGTGTGGGGAGGCACAGGAACTCTGGGATACTGTTATCCTGCATTTAATTGGTCCTTCCCTTTTTTTGCTTATTTTCTTGAGAGTGAGGAGGAGGGAGGCAGTGTCCCCTTGACCCCTTGATGCTATGCTGCTGTTCTAGCTCGACTAATTTATCAGATCTTTAATGCCGACAGGATAAGAAAGACTTCAGGATCAATCAACTTGTTTTTGCCTTTCTTCACAGAATTCAGCGCCATACCTATCAAAGGCACAGACTCATGGCTCTTGAAGGTGAGGACTGGATGACAATTGTTGTGGATGGAATGGATCAGAAGAAAACCAGTGTTCCCCGTTTTGCAAGGGAAGATAAGAACACAATCAACCTCCCAATTATCAACACCCATATCACAGGTACATACCTATTTCTGGTGTATCCATGCATCTAAGACACTAAGGTTTCTGCTACTATTCATTTTTCAATATTGCAGTATCCACCACAGCAATTATTGCACGGGGAGTTCTTTTACGCTACACATTGACTCTCTTGAAATTTTCATTATTTCAAGAGCCAAGAATGCTGAAGCTCTGTCTCCATTATTGTTATTTTTTTTTTAAAGTCCACTGTCATTGCTTTCTGGATAGGGATCATGGCGTACACTGAAGAAGGCATCCGAGAATTCGCCTACGTGGATATGGGCCAATTTCCACATGACTCCAACCTTACCGCCGAAGTCATTCTCCGATCATTACTCCACTTGAGAAGGAACATGAAGAGCAAGCTACTGATCCAAATGGATAATTGCTGTCGGGAAAACAAGAACAAGTACATCCTCGCTCTAGCGCATGTTCTTGTGGATTTGGACATCTTTGAGGAGGTGAGTATGATTGAGGAGGCTTCATGTAACCCTCTTTATGAACCTCCTTTACATGTACATTTACATGGATAATGGAATCTAATTTTTTTCTCTCTGAATTCCAGTTTTCTGATGATTTTAAATGACATTGAAAGTGATTTTGGAGAGAAAATTCATTGGTTTCAATTTAAACCTATTTGTGACAGTTATCCTATTCACATGGAATGTAAGTTTCACAAGTTTCATTTTCTTTCAGATTGTTTTCAACTTTCATCCTGTTGGCCATACCCACGAGGACATAGATCAGTTGTTCAGCACCATCAGTCAACATCTGCAAT